GACGGTGTCTTCGTGCCGGCGGTGAAGATGTTGGAAGGTGTTCGGCACGCGCCCCCACCATCAGCGCACCCCAAGTGATGTTGAGACAGGGCCACGCGCGCAACGCTCTGCGAGCCCGCAACGGATAGCGCTCCCACTCTCAGCGCACCCCCTCTGGTGTCGAGGAGGTGCCACGCACGCTTTGCGAGCCCGCGACGGATATTGCCCCCACCCTCAGCCTCTGGTGTCGAGGGAATGCCAAAGCCGCCACGCTTTGCGAGCCCGCAACGGATAGCGACCCCACCCTCAGCGCACACCCTCTGGTGTCGACGAAATGCCACGCCTGCCACGCATTGCGAGCCCGAAACGGGGGGCCGCGTGTGGCACGATGTTATGCGTGCGAGTGCTTGTGTTATGCACCCGTGCATAGTTATGACCGTGTGCAAGCGAGAGGCACGCCAAAGTTCTACGATCGTTGTCCCAACCATTATGTCGTGTTGGGTCCTCCTATTGAAGAGGCAGCGCCCCGCGTCTCACTCCTCACTCCTCCTCCTCCCCCTCTTCCCTCCTCCCACACCTGCCCCTGCTCTTCGCATGTCATCATCATCACCACCATCAGCACCATCATCATCCTCCTCGTCATCACTATCACCATCACGAACATCATCAGCATCAGCATCATCATCATCATCGTCGTCGTCATCGTCATCAACATCGACATCACGATCCTCATTCGCATCCTCCTCATCATCAGCATTCAGCACCAGCATCATCGTCATCATCGTCATCACCATCATCATACTTATCACCATCATCATCAATAGCAGCATCAGCATCGGCATAGGCATCGGCATAATCATCACCATCACGATCATTAGTATTAATATGATAAGTGTTAGCATTATTAGTATCATCGTCGTCGTGATCGTGATCGTTGTCGCCACCTCCTTTTCGGCACACCCCTCACACGTCTCGTGACCTCATAGGGAGCTCCAGCTAAGGCCCTGATGGCAACGTTCGCATGTGTGCGCCACCCCCGTTTCTGCAGACCTCTCACACGTTTCGTGGGCCCATAGGGAGCTACACCTGCGGCCCAAATGGAGCCGTTCGCATCTGGGCGTCGCCCCCTTTCTGGCACACCCGTCACACGTTTCGTGGCCCCATAGGGAGCTCCAACTAAGACCCCAGTGGCCCCGTTCGCATGTGGGCGTCACCCTCGTTGCTGCACACCTTTCACACGGTGCGTGGCCCCAAAGGGAGCTCCACCTAAGGCCCCAATGGCCACGTTCGCATGTGGGCGTCACCCCCGTTGCGGCACACCCCTCACGCACTTCATGGCCCCCTAGGGAGCTCCACCTAAGGCCCCAGTGGCCACGTTCGCATGTTGGCGTCACCCCCGTTGCGGCACACCCCTCGCACGTTTTGTGGCCCCATAAAGAGCCCCATCGAAGGCCCAAGTGGCACCGCTCGCATGTGGACGACACCCCTGTTTCGGCACACTCCTCGCGCGTTCCGTGGCCCCATAGGGAGCTCCACCTAAGGCACAATGGCGCAGCCCGCATGTGGGCGACTCTCTTTTTTTCCGGCACACCCCTCACACGTTTCGTGGCCCGACACGAAGCTCCACCTATGGTCCCAGTGCCACTGCCCGCATTTGGGCGGCACTCTGTTTCCGGCACGCTCACACACACAGACACACACAACACCACCACACAACACACACCACACAACACACACCACACACAACACACACACAACACGCAACACACACCACACACAACACACAACACACACACAACACACACCACACACACCACACACAACACACACCACACACACAACACACAACACACAACACACACGCAACGCACAACACGCAACAAACACAAACACACAAACAAACACACACAACACATCAACACACCAACACGCACACAACACACAACACACACAACACACCAACACACACAACACACAACACACCAACACACACAACCCACAACACACAACACACAACACACACAAGAATAACAACACAAAACACACAACACACAACACATTACATACACAACACACAAAACACAACACACACAACACACACAAAACACACAAGACACGCGAAACACACACAACACACACACACACCACACACACCACAAACACCACACACCAGACACACCACACACACCACACACACCACACACACACACACCACACACAACACACAACACACGCAACACACACAAAACACACAACACACAAAACACACACACAACACACACACCACACACAACACACACACACAACACACCCAACACACCCCAACACACAACACACACAACACACAACACACACAACACATACACACACACTCGCACACGCGCACGCGCACTCACGCGCACGCGCACGCGCACGCGCACACACACGCACGTGCACGCACGCACGCACGCACACACGCACACACGCACACGCGCGCACGCGCGCACACGCACACGCGCGCGCACGCGCACGGACACGCGCA